ATATATATATATATATATATATATATATATATATATATATATATATATATATATATATATATATATATATATATATATATATATATATATATATATATATATATATATATATATATATATATATATATATATATATATATATATATATATATGCACTATGAGCCTAAATGGCAAAAATGTGACCAAAAGTCGATTTTCAAAAGTATTTCAAAATAAGTATTATTTTGTTAATTTAGAACATATATTTATGCATTAACAGGAAAATATCTTTTGCATAATTTTTATCACGTGTATTATGAGTTTAACGAGTATCTTTTCGCACCTAATAAACAAACAATATTTTTGAGAATAATTAACGAAATTTTTATTTGTTTTCAAGTTCATTAATTTCTACATCATTATATTGAATCCTAACACTTTTTTTTAATTTAATTATCTTATTCTATTGTCAATGCCCATTTAATCAAAAAATATACTACAAATCGATTTTTTTGATTTTATGTTTTCGAAGAAGGGAGTAAAATTTTAAAGTATTAATTTACGCGGTCACAAAAAGTGAAAAAACTTAAAAAGTTCATCTTTGTCCACTACTAAATTTTGACCACATTATTATGAACGTATTGAGTACACAAATATAAAATTTCTAGCTGCTCCAACTTGCTCCATTTCGATTATTTCAGAAGGACGCTAGATAAACCGGGGAGAAAATCTTACAAACAAAACTACAATAACAAAAATTTTAGTATGATTATAATATCTTGTGACTTACAAATTAAAAAAAAATATACATATACATATATATATATATATATATATATATATATATATATATATATATATATATATATATATATATATATATATATATATATATATATATATATACATATATATATATATATATATATATATATATATATATATATATATATATATATATATTATATATATATATATATATATATATATATATATATATATATATATATATATATATATGTATATGTATATATATATAGCAAGCAACTTGTGTTTACAAAACGGGGAGAAAAGGAAAATGACAAGAAGAGCAACAGCGAATTAAAACATCAAGAAGAGCAATAACAAATTAATACGATTACAAAAAACGCTATCACCAGCATTACCGGCACCATTGCTACCAGCACAACAGCTATTTCTTTCGTCGAAACGGCCATCAAGACTACCAACACCGCCACAAGCAACACTAATACCATCTCGACGAACGCAACCACAACGCTTGTTGCATAAAATTAGCCAAATAAACTCAACATTATTTGAACAAGTTTGGCAATCTATTGGTTTTTGCAAGGAGGATATTCTTCTTGGATCAATGTACCGACCCAATGATCTAAAACGACTCGGTACTTCCTGAGACAATAGTGTCACCAGCTAAATCGAAGGCGGTAACGAATATTATTGGATATAAAACGGTGCTGGTTTACAGTGATTTTAATTTCGCACACACAAATTTCAAACAAATAGGCGTAAGTGGAGGAGTAGCCACAGTAAGTCATGTTTCCAAAAACTGGCCTAGCGATACGGCTTTTTGGCATGCATGCGGTAAATATATGTGGTAGTGGTGTAGTGGTAGAGCGCTCGCTTCATAAACGAGTGGTTCGGAGTTCGATCCCCACCACGTCCCTGGTAGTACCGCGCTCAACTCGTTTCTCCGCGCAGCGGCCTTGTTCGTCAAGGTTCGTGTTTCGGAGTTATAGAGTTGAGAGAGGGTTATAGCCACAAATAAGTAGCCTCCTCGTCTGTAGTGGCCTTCTCGGCCTTGAGGAGGTGAATTAAAATAAAAATAAAGAAAAAAAAAATCAAAAGGAGACTGTTTCATGCCAGGACCAGACGGCCTAAATTTAAAAATAGCGAACATTTACGATTTTTCAAAAGTCTAAAAATTTATTACGGTGTAAATATTTTAATTATTGATCACTAAACTAAATAAACTAAACTAAACTTCAGAAAGTATAGTTTTAATGTATAATTTAAAATGTTTCTGAACTTACACCTGCCATTCCAATTACGTAGTTGCAAAGCAAATTGCAAGTAAATGCAACTTGTAAGAATAAGCTGTTAGTGAGATTAGAGGTAGGTACACAATTAAAAAAAAGGTGGGAGGAGGGAGGGAGTATACAAAAATTTGACATTGAGAGTACATTATTTCTTAGAAAATAACGCGTGGTCCTATAATAATACAAATTACAGTACGATGACTTCTTATTATAAGTTGTAACGCCGATAATTCGAATTTTGCTAACGTAGGGTTTTAATTAATAGAAGTTAAAACTTACATAACGCAGAAGTTCAACGAGTAATTTTTTAAATAAGAACTGTTTGTGATTCAGAGTGTAAGTTGAATTGGTGACCAGTAACGAAACTATTATGTTCAACTTTTTTTTTAATATTTAAATTGGAATATAACATCTGCTAGTTTTAAAAATTTTTATCAAATTTGTTTTCGAACAATTTAATTTACTTATTTGTAACTAGCTTATTTACAACCTAATTACTAGATTGTAGCGTATTTTTATTTCAAATATTTTGAAATTAGCTTATAGCAATTATAATTAAAGTTTATTTAAAGCTTGAAGATTTCATTTGTGTGGTGCTAACACCACGCAAATGATAGCAGAAATTACTTTTATACAACGGGTTTGTAAAACTTTAAAACGCTTTAAACTTTTATGGATTTAATTAGTTTAATTATTAAGTAACTTGGTTCATTTATTCTACAATGCGGTGTTAACATGGCTTTTTTATTTTTAATTATAAATATATGAGTGATTTAACAACAACAACAATAACAATATATTTCATGTTACAGATGTTACAAAAACACAGGTCATTGCAAATAGTGATTCACTAATAAAGCGCAATGTTCTAAATAAGATAAAAAATAATAATAACAATAATAATAATATGTAATAAGTAAAACCACATAAAAAAGTAGGTTATAAAAGGGAGTTAATTCAAGCATATAGTACCGAATTATTTTGCTTTACGGCTCAGATTTGATTCCCGGGTTTTATGAATTTATGCTTAATAAATTATTTTTATTATTTAATTAAGAATCATTCAGAACCCTTTTAAGTTATAAATAAAGTAAAATTAGTTTAAATCCGGACTCGTTTATCCTATAAAAACAGGCATTGAGTTTTTATATCTTACGACTCTATACAGATGTTTTTTTTATATATCATGTATACCAGTATTTTTTTATATATATTTATACATGCAAATATTTTTCTATCAAAAAATTGATTGATTGGTTTTATTGCATAGTAATTTTTTATAATTGTTTTTTTTTTTTTTTTTTTTTTTATTAATTTTTAGTATTTATGTTGTATTCATTACAAGACAAAAACATCAACACAACATTAAAACATGTTGAAAAGCTATTGTTTAAAGCCATTTAAATTAGTTTGTTTAAAACTATTAGTATTACTCATATTTTTTTAATTTAAAATCATTACTAATGACTTTAAACTATAACAATTATACTGGTAGTTGTTTAAAATTGTAAAAAATAGATTTTTTTGGTTTTCAATTTTAAATTAGATATACTTTAGTAAAATAAAATTTCATTGTAAACTAAACAAATTATTCAATCTTAAATTAATTAAAAATTATAAAATAATTTTTAGTTAAAATTTTTACAAATATTAACAGTTTTTTTTAATATGATAATATTTATAAAGACTTTATTTTTAGGCTTCAATATTAAATTAAATTTATTTTATTATTAATGAAGTAAATTAAATTTACTTTACTAAGTAAAGTAAATTTCATTCAAAACAAAACAAATTCAATCTTAAATTAATTAATAAATATGAATTAAATTTTAATTTAAGTCTTTACAAATTATTTGTCAAATATTATCAGTTTTTTTTTTATTTTTTATGTTTTATACAATTTCTTAAACTAATAAGTTTTAACACAATACAAAAAAAAAACAGTTTTTTTTTTTGTATTGTGTTAAAACTTACAAGTCAGAATAATAATAATAATAAAATTATAATATAAATATATTGTAATATAATTTAAAAAAACATAAAAGTTGTTATCTTGTATTATCTATATCATTTATCTTTTTATAAAATGCTTTAAATATTAATAATATTATAGTTCAAAATTTTTTAAGCTTTATATACTTTAAAAAATATATAAGTTAAATAGATTTATAAAATCAGGTTTTAAAAAAAATTAGTTCTAAAATAGCATAAACAATTGATGATTTCATCTTTACTTCTATTTCTGATAATATGAATAATTAAATAATTTCTACATATCCTTGATTTACATCAAGTTTACTAAAGTGTTTTAAATTTTATTTATAAACACATGTTCTCGTATGTACGTATCTTATAGTCATTATAGCCATACATTATATTTATACATTACATATAAAGATAATGAGTGTTGGAAGGCTATCGTGTAAAAGCATTTTGGATTTTGCTGAAACTTTTCTCAATGTGCAAAAATCAGGGTCACTAGACAAAGATTGGTTTTTAATTAACCAAATGTTTGATGTAAACATATCGTATGGGGAAATGCATATACCAAAACCATTTTATTCAAAAATCCAAAAATGGTTTGGTAAAATTGATGACAAAAATGCAGAGGAAGCAGTGTTACGTGTGGAAAAACAAACTATAGGTAAGAATAAGATAATTGAATATAACAAAAATAGCAGTATTTTTTTTTTTTTGAAGTAAGCTACATTCAAAATAAAAATGTTTAAAATTATTAAAAGTCATAATCTTGTAATATAATTAATATGGCTGCTTATACACTTTTTTTAAATATTTATATATATATATTAATTTTTTATTTATATATTCTTTTGATATTATGCTGATTGAGTTCAATGTTACGCTGATGTGATCAATATCATCATGTCAGATATATAAAATTGTTACAAAGAAAATTTTTAAATAAAGACCAAATTATTTTTTTTTTTTAATATTTAGCACTTGTTAATAGTTTAGCAAAAATTAAATTGGAATACTGTTGCCATATCTGGGGCGAATCTTCCAATGATGCCCTTTACTTTTTTTGACAAGGTTTAAAAATGCATTGAAAACATAGTTGGATCTGCTCTTGCAGCCAACCTCCAACCATTATCACATTGTCGTAATGTTGCCTCTCTTTCTCTTTTCCACAAATACTTTAATGGGCACTGCTCTAAAGAGCTAGCGTCTCTTGTGCCATTAACTAAAATTTATTACTGTGTTACTCTTCATTCAAAGAAAACTGTATGTCTAATCACTACCTTTTTTTCAACAGAACATTTTATTAACCTGCTTCCTGGAAAAGTCCTAGGTTTGATTGACATTATGCAGTAAATATCTTATTTTATATGATCATATTTGTATTTTTTAAACGAGGTGGCAATAATGATTAGTCCATTAGGGGTGACACTAAACACTTTTTAATGTTTTAATTTTTTAGATTATGGATAGATTTGTTTTGCAAGTGGATTTGTGTCTAAGCTTAGATTGTTCTTAAGAATATTTAAAATGGATTTGTTAAGAATTATTACGGTGTCTCAAGCTTTCCCAGGAAGTGCTTGCAGTCGTATGCCTTGTTCATTCATGTTTGAATTCATTTTTTTAGATAACTTGACCAGGTTTTTATAAAGTATGCATTTTAATGATTTGTGGCAAAACAAAGCTATAAGAAACTACAGAGAATAAAATAGTAATAATCAAAGAAAAGAACGAATACTATACAAAATAAATTTAAATAGAATAAACTAAAAAAATTAAAAATTAGAAAAAGAAAAGTTTTATCAAAAAGATAATGTACCTAAATATTTTACTGTTTTTGTTTTATTTTTTTAGGGCGTTTGTTATTTCCCACTACCAAAATTGATACAAGTCGAGTGAAAAAGCATATAACAAAAATAAAAACTTTTTTTGATATACAAGTTATTCGCGACTTTTGTCAGTCACTATATTAAAAAAATACTTTATTATTTGTGCATATACACACAAATTTTAAATTCGTTTTTTAAATATTTTTGCTAAACTTTTCTGTTTGTATCAAATCGATAGCTATTTATTTGTAAAAAAATTTTTTATTTTTTAACAAATTTTTTATACAAAATAATAAAAACTTATTATTACTAATTTTCAAATATAAAATATTTGGTTGTTTTCACTATCCCTATTGTAATGTTCTGCATTTTTATTGGATTCTCCAAATTGTACATTTAAACCAAATGGTATAAATAAACTATCTTTATTTGTATTTCTTAATGAACTCTTTTTGATGTTCCAAAAGCTTGTGGGCTAGTTACTTGGGCTAGGACTTGTATGTTAATTTACTGAATTTTTTTTAGGAAATTTTTTGAAACCTAATTATAACTTAAAAAAACATTTTTTTTTTGAAAAAAACAAAAACCATGGGTTTTTGTAAATAAACCAAAAGAACCACAGGTTTTTTGGTTTAAACTAATTTTTTTGAAAAAAAAGCCATTTTTAGTTAAGCATTAGTCATTTTATTTGAGTAAATTCTATTTTCTATTAACATTACTGCTGTAATTCATCAACCAATATATCATTATTGAATGTTATTTATATAAAATCAAGCTTTGCCACTTTTTCTACTGCCATCTTGTTTCTTAACTTGAAATAAACAAGCCCAAAAGTAAAAAAAAAAACTCTTTTAATTCCAGCACTTAAAGCTGGTGTTTTTATCCATGATAATGTTTATGATTTATCATAAACATTATCCATGATAATGTTTATGATAATGATAATGATAATGTTTCATTATAATGATAATGATAATGTTTCATGATAATAATAATGATAATGTTTCATGATAATAATAATGATAATGTTTCATGATAATGATAATGTTTCATGATAATAATAATGTTGCAGTCCAAAGATTTAAGAGACTTTTACCATTCTATTGGTGATACATTTTTTAAAACAGATTCACTATACAAATAGCTTTTATCGTATGGAGCAGATTTGGCTTTCAACTTGAATATTACTGGTAATAAGTTCATAAATACTTTATTTCTAAAGATCATTGCAGCTTCATTTTCAGAAAGATTAGATCCAAAATATCTAGGATCTAGCATGTTTGCAAGGAAATTAGCATAACTGGCAGTCTAAAGCAGTAGATCCATTCGCAACTCCGTCTCGTCGGATTTTTCTTGGTTTTTCAGAGTTTCTGAGTTCGAGAGAAATCAAGAAACTTCGACAAAACTTCGACGAAGTTTTGAAAAATTATCAATTTTTTACTCGTGAAATAATTGAATTCTTATTTTATTTCTACGTGATTTTTACAATTATAAATAGTAATTTTAAAAGTTATTTCAAGCATATTCTCTTTGTATAATAACAACACTAATATCACAAAGCAATTGATAATGCACGGTGGGCCAGGTGATGATGGTGGAAAAAACCTTAAAAAAAGTTTATTCTATTCAAAACCATATAATAAAACATACATACTCATACTTTTCCATTGTACTATTTCAAAAACTTTTTTGTTATTATTAAACTTATTTTATTATTGTATAATAGTATCTTTTTAGTATTAGTATTTTTTTTAATCCACAAAAATCAATTGCGTAATAAAAAGCAAGTATGTAATGCGTAATAAAAAGCAAGAATTTTTTAATTTTTAAGCAAAGATATAGTAAACAGTAACTTTTAAAATATTATGCGAATATGATATTAGCTAATATATTTTAACTATTCAATAGTTTACCTTTACAAAAAAAAATATTTAGTCAAGATCATTATTTATAATATAAATAAAGACTGGTCATAACATAACGAGGTAAGTTTTAAACATATAATACTTTCATTTTATACAAGTAGTGTCGTATATTGTATGATCAAAATAATTTTGTCCACCATAAGTCTAATATCTGGCCCACTGTGCATTGTGGCAAGCTTGTGCAATAAAATGTTATCAGTGATAACAAATAATAATAAATGTATGTTTAATTATATTTGCCTATTAGAATAAATAACTTAATTTATAACTTAAAATGTGATATTTTTTCACAGTTAAAATAAAATTAAAAACAAATATGTGAGGTCATAATCAAATTGATAATTTTTCTTTCATAGAAAAAAATGATTTCGGAAGTGTGGAATTACTTTAATTAAGTTATGGTAGATGATAAACAATATGGAGATTGCAAAAAATGTCATAAAAGAATCGCTTGTCCAGGAAGCAGCAGAAACGGTTCAAAACACTTCAAAAGTTGTGAGAAAATAGATTTGAAACCAATCAGTTCCAGACCATTTTTGACTAAGATGTCGTTAAACTATCTTTTTGCCAAGTTGACAGCTCTTTATGGATATTCGATTAGGTCCATAACTTAATCTGAAACACTAAGAATGCTTTTAGAAAATTATGGGCATAGTTTGCCCAGGTCAGCGTCCACAATTTCAGAAAAAGTCAAGATGTTTCATACTGAAGCCAAATATTTAATGATCGCTTAATTGGCTGCATTGAAAGCAAAAGGGGAAAAACTTGGACTAACAGGTGAAGATGGTGTAGCAATAGAGGTAGAAGATCAGGGTTGCATGGTTTTAACCAAATTGTTTAAACCATTGGTTTAAACCATGGTTTAAACCAATTTTAAAAATGTTGGTTTAAACCAAACTAATGTTTTTTTTTAAAGATTTGAACTTAAAACAAGAAACTAAGACAGGGTTACAGGCTTCATTCAGGATACACTCTACCTAATAGAACTGAAATTGGAGGAGAAATATTAGATAGGGTTTACACAGAAGAAATTAAAAAATGTAATGTATTGAATGGGAAAATTGTAGCCATGTCTTTAGATGGCTGGAGTAATGTACACAATGAACCTATAGTTTGTATCTCTGTAATTATAGATAAAATTAACATTTTAGTAGAAACAATCAACACTTCTGGTCATTCACATACTGGTGAATATCTTACACAATTAGCAAGAGAAGCAATAGATTTTGTTAGATGTAAATTTGGATGCACAGTAAAAAGCTTTGTGACTGACAATGCAGCTAATGTGAAATCAATAAGTCAAGTATTGTCATCTGAAAGAGATATTATCATAACTTATGGGTGTGCTGCTCATATGCTGATTCTTTTAGCAAATGATCTTAACATTGAAAATGTGAGCAAGCGTGTTACACAAATAATAAAATATATAAGAAATAATCATCAAGCTGGAGCAATTTATAAATTAAGCGGAGGAACATAATTGCCACTTCCTACTGAAACTCAATGGAATTCTGTATGTGATTCATATGAAAAATATGTCAACAATTAGAGCATTATTTTTACAATGTTTGAAAAAAATAAAGACTTAAATCCCGTGATTGGTAAAAAAGTAAGTGATATACAGATAAAGTGAAACACAGAAGATTTATTGAAAATATTGAAACCAATTGCAGTAGCTCTAGATAAGTTGCAAAGAGATTAAACAAAAATAAGTGATTCTTGAAATTTTTAAAGATTTGATGAACAGTTTATTGTTTTTATCAAACGAAACAAAAAAAAAATTGAATCTAGATACCTTCAGACTGTCAGTGATGCTCATTTCCTGGCAAACACACTAGATCCTAGATATTTTGGATCTAATCTTTCTGAAAATAAAGCTGCCATGAATTTCGCAGATAAAGAGTTCAAGAATT